GGGAGGACGTGCCGACTCAACTCTAGGAGGACTGTGGGGACGGCACCTAGAAAAGAAGGAACAGCAAGGCCGGGAGGAGCCGCTGCAGCCCAGATGGACCTGAGGTTCACACAGGATTCAAGGACCAAGGTGGGGACCCCGCCAGCTTCACAGGCTCTGATGCCTGGTCTGAGCTGCCAAGGTCACTGTCCTTGGTGCTGCTCCCACAGCTGGATGCAATGTGGGGTCTCAGAGCCCCAAATCCCGGTATCAGGGAGCCAGGGCCAGCTCGGCAGCACCCCCACCCCAGCTTCCCCCTAGGCCTCTGCAGCCTCCCCCAGGCCCTGCAGAGCAAGGCCACAGCTAATCTGCTCTCCCAGCAGATTCCTCTGCAGAGAGATAAGCTGCCTCCCAGCCAAGGTGGGTGGGAAATCAGAACAACTTCCTTACTTGGGTTTTTTCCAGTTGAGAGAACATTCTATACCATGCTCACCGGTGTCGCTTAATTACCAAGTGTTTTCATGTTTGAGAAGACCCCAAATTGCAGAGAGACAGAGAGAGAGAGAGAGAGAGAGAGAGGGAGGGAGAGAGAGAGAAGGAGAGAGAGAGAAGAGGAGGAGGAGAGAGGAAGGGAGAGAGGCAGGAGAGAGAGAGATCTTTGGGATTTAGCAGAGGAATGTGAGGCCTAATTTTGCCTAATTACGAAATGTCTGGGCGGCAACTCTGACACGTCCCAGAGTAGGCAATGCAGACCCCTGGGCCTCGCGGGCGGTGGGGGCCCGGGGGCGCTGATGCAGATGTTTACCTGATGTCTTGGGCTGGAATCTGGTTTACATTGGGAAATCAGACTGTTTACAGGAGGCCACATCTGCCTCTCCCTCCCTTCCCTTTCATTTCCCCGTAATGTTCTGCAGGTCCCGCTCAGGTCTCTGTGGGCAGGTCAGGGACGCCACGAGAGCCACGCCATGCAGGCAGAGTCCCGAGTGGGGACACGTCGGCTCCCGGCTTGGCCGCTGGGTGGGCAGCCTGGGTCCGGGTGTGGGTCTGTGCCGGCGGTGGAGAGGTGGAGGGGTGGGACCCCCGCTGGGAGTGGAGCCCCGGGCACAGAGGCCAGGACCAGTGGAGGGCAGGGCCCTTCCTCCACCCCCACAACGCTGGCCAGGCCGTGGACACACGGGGACCCCAGAGCCTTCTGCTGAGTTCTGGCAGCAGAGCTGAGAGTGGCAGCACCGGAGCCAGTGATGTCTCTGCACGGGACAGCCCCAGGCCACAGGGGACGGAGAGCCAGAGCCCAGCTGAAGGGCAGGGTCCAGTGGGGCTCTCGCAGGACAAGGGGAGCTGGGGAGGGAGGGGGCCGAAGGGGGTCCGCGATGGAGAGCCCGGTGTGGGGGAGCACAGGGCCCGAGGCGCCTCGGCCCAGCCTCTCTGCCTCCTGGTGCCTGGACCAGCCCTCCCTCAACCGCCAGGGCTCCACTGTGGTGAGGGCCCCTCTCATGCACCCCAGCCCCTGGAAGCAGGGACTGCCCATTCCTCTGCGAGCCCACTGAGTGAGATTCCACTGCGAGGATGGACCACGGATCCTTGCCCTCTGCGTTCAGCTCCAGGCATGTGCAGCTCGTGTCCGGCTCTCGGCCACTGTGCACACTGCTGGGATGAACACGGACACACAGAGGTCTCCTTCGGTCCCGGCGCAGCCCTGGGCGCACAGTAGGCATGAGACTGCCAGGCCACCGGGGATTCTCTCCCTGAGGGAGCTCCCGTAGCTCCGCAGAGGACTCTGCTGTCTTCTCCTCTGTCCCTTTCTGCTTTCTAGAGAGCTGATGGAATGGCAGCGCTTTGGCATCCATATTATCCCACCGAGCACAGGCTCCTCCCGTGCCTGTCACCGGGCAGAGACTCGGGAGCTGGGAGCCCCGATCCTGAGCTGGCACCTTCACGGCTGCCTCAACACCCCCTGCGGTCACACTTTTGGGGCGGACTCAGAGAATACAATCCATCGTATCTTGTTGGAGAGTTTCCTTTTGCGAGATTTCTATTCCATCCAGCTCTTTGCAACTAATTAGCAGCTTTGAAAGAATAAAGGAATACCTTGTAGTCTAAGGCTGCAAAGTAAAACATGGAGCAAAGTCGAGTGTAATCTGCCCACCAAGAGGTGCCTGGCTTGCATTTTTCTGTTGTTTCCCTTGGCCGCTCTCCTGTTTCCCACACAGATATGGACTTAGCCCTTGCACCCGGGGACCAGATAGAGGGTGTAGCTGTGTGTTTCCCAGGCTAAGGAAATTTTTCCAGGATCAAGGATTTTAAGAGCTTAATACTATTCCGAGAAGTTCTGCCTTTTTGTACACTGTAAAGATGGAAAATGACTGGCATCCCTCATAAATCGTTCCGCTAATACTTCTGGAGATAAAGTTGAGCGGTGCAATTGATGTTGCAAAGGCTCTGGGCGCATTCTGTCAGCTGATGCCGGATGTGTTTACCACCTCCTTCCTGAGGAGACTTTCTCAACCCTCGGCTCCCACGAAGAGCCTGGCAGTGGGACTTGTCACTGCCCCGCCACATGGAAGGCTGGGGTCATCCCGCGGGCCTTGTTCCCATGCCTGCTCCCCGCTCCATCTTCCCCCTCTTGCCTCTCTGGGCTCCAGCCCCCTTTTCTCTGCCTTCTCTCCGAGTTGGGGTAGAGCTGAACTCACCTCATACATGTGCTCGCTGTTTTCCTTGCCCAGACTTGATCTGGTGTTTTCCTAAGTTCTCGGGTCTGGGGTGTTAGTGACGGCGGGCTCTGTTCTTGCCTTTAGCTGGTATTTCCCCACCATTGGCGTTCTCTGGCGAGTACTTCCGTGCGTCGTTCGAAAGGATCTTCAGTTGCCTTTCTTGGCTTCAGAGGGGCTGCGGCTCAGGGTGAGAAACAGGAGCAGCGCCTTGGTGTGTGACGCACATGGTGGGAGCGAGCATCTTCTCTCCCGAGGTGGGGATGGCGCAGGGACCACCAGCGGGCACTGATCCCCGCTGTGTGGGGAAGAACAGATCGTGACTGTTTCTACCGTGGCTTCTACAGGGCGCTCCCTGTGCCCCTGTCGTCAGGCTTGGGGTGGGAGCGCCACCAGCAGACAGCGCGAATTTGCCCGTGGAGTCTTTCTTCCCCACTCATACCCATGGCTGAGCGACGGCAGGTGACCAGGAGGGCGTGGCCTCGCACCCATGGCTGTGCGGACGCAGGAGATAAAGGCGGTTGTCCAGGTGACGGTTGTAAGTGTGGAAAATGACAGCCAGCATCCCGAGATGGTTTGATCCCACATTCTGCAGGAACATACATCCCCTCCTCTCACGTGTGACAGCCCTGGTGGCCATGCAGGAGAGCAGAGCTGGAGCCAGTGGCCACTTCCGGCAGGGGTAGAGCAGCTGTTTCCTGTGCCTTCGGGACTGCCTGCGACTCTCTTCTGCTTCTTGACACCTGAGGCACTGCCCTGTCCTTGTCTCCTGAAGATCTGTCCTCATCTTCTAGCCTGGCTTAGTGCTGGGAGCGGTCCCCGGCCCTGTTCTCCAGCAGCTTGCTCTTCCTTGCTGTGGCCGCCACACCACAGGGCCCCCTTCCCCTCCAGTCCAGCTATTTCTGTATCTGGTCACAGAGACACCTCAGTAGGTGACTGCAACCGAGGTGTGGCCATGCTGCACCTTCTGTTGTCCTGAGGTGATGTGGGGAGACTTTTGCTGCCTCTACAATGTGTGCCTGTCGCTCCACTGTCTGTTGGAGCGGTGTTGCTGTTTGTCACAGTGCTTGCTGTGTTCTCTAGGATTTACTACTTAAAGCAGCCTTTGTGGTTTGTTACAATGCTTCTCTTTGCTCACCAAATGTGGGCTCCTGGCAGTCACAGTGTCATCTGTCTGCTGTCTTTATGTGACCCACCTCATGCTGTGAGGTTAGGGTTAGGCAGACAGGAGGAACCCAAGTGTGGGTCTGGCTGCTGCTCCTTCAGTGGTCCCAAGCTGCTTGCCTTTGACCCAGGAGTCTCACACTTGTTCTATCCAGCAAGTGATGTCTCTTCTAACCAACGTTCCTTTGGGGAACCTGCAGCTGCTTGGGGTCCACCTGCAGCCTGAGTAAAGACAACAGGTGACTTAATGTTTGTTCATAGCAAGGTCCATGCGACCTCCCTGCCTCCACTGGATGGGCTCTCTCCTCTCTGCCGTCCTATTTTCAGCTCTCTATTGCCCTCTGGCGGCTCTCCCTCGGCAGCTTCTCCTCCGTATTAAATGTGGATCCTCCAGAAGGCCTCAGTTCTCTCCCCTTCCACCTCTATTTCTGCTTCTCTCTGTGCGTCTCTCTTTTCTCCGCTCCGTTATTCCCCATATTTACATGACACCCATGCGCAGGAAACCCCATGGTGATCCTCAGGGCACAACCTGGCCAGGTGCACACGTTGGTCATCAACCACAGGGGACCTCTGCTGACCACTGTACCTGTGTCTTTGCTCCCATCAAAGGCAGCAGCAGATTCTGTCCTGGCTTTCCCGGTGCAGGAGGTTGTGCTGCTGTCCTCCACGAGGAGCATGAGCCAGACTTGGGACCCCCCTTTTCTTCCTCTCCTCGGTCTCCTCATCAGCAGGTCATGGCATTATGGCCTTACGTTCACTCATGTTGAAATCAGGGGTGCGCCCTGCCCTGAGCTGCATCTGTGACCTGCCTGAAGTCTCTCCGTGTCACTCAGCCCATCACTTCCACCTCTTCCTTCCTCTGACAACCCTTCCTGTCAGAGCAGTGCCAGTGGCTTTAGACAGCACCCTCCATCGGGCCAGGGATTTAGCTCAACGGTTCGGTGGCCTGCCTCACAAGCACAAGGACCCGAGTTCGATCCCCGGTACCAAAAAAAAAAAAAAGGAAGAAAGCACCCTCCATCTCTCCTCCTCAGCCCAAGACTCCCCAATTGCCTGTGTCCTCAGCCAGGCTCTGCCCTCTGCAGAGTCACCCAGGTAGTGATGGGTCTTCCGGAAGTTGTAATGCACATGGGTGAGGGGAGGGGCTCCCAAGCTCCATCTCCCAGTGGGCTCAGCTTGGGCTTTGGATCCTTTCACATGTTTTGTTATTAAACAAAGCCGGTTAATTAAATTTTGTAGTTTATCTTGTGTTTAATTTACTTTGATTATCCCATCCTTCAGTGACTTGTGTCACTGGCAACGTCAAGTGTGTTTGGTGGTGTGTGTATTTACCCTGTGGAAAGCACTGCTCCCCCAGTGAACAGTCTTGGAGTGGGTGGCAAGGTCACTGTGTCCTTGAGGAAGGGTGCTCTTCTTTTCTGTCAGACACCAGATGCCAGCTCTCAGCTTTGTTACATTTTCTACTTTCCTTGCTTTCCATTTAATCTGTTATCTTTTAGCAACACACTTCTTTCTCTTTCTTTTAAAAAAATGTATTACATTAGAGGCTTTGCTTCTGATTTCTCTATAAATGATTTTTAACTAAATGGAAAACCCACAATATGCATGTCTCTCTGCCTCCCGATTAGTCTTCTTTATTTCCTTCTATTGATTAATGGCTTTAGTTACACGAGAAATTCTCCATCACAGTTAATCGCAAGCAAGCAGCATTATGGTAAATAAGTTCACAGGGAGAACTTCCCCCAAATCCCTTCTCTTTCTGGCCCTTGCCCAGCAATGTTAGCGCACTGTGTCTGAATTTTCACTTGACTTTCTGTAATAATTCAAACACACACACACACACACACACACACACACACACTTCTTTTTTGCTTATAAAATGGAAATATTTCAAGGTCACCATTTGCAGAAATCCCTTGTTCTTTCCTCACGATATCCCTTTGTGTAGCTGCACCTTTCCAAGTTCCTAGCAGAAGATCACTTCATTTCCACACCATTTGTTTGGTGTTGTTCTGCTGTTCCCATGACACGGAATGCAGCTATGGATGCCCTTGTTTATGAATACCTTTGTGCTGACATGTTACCGTTCCGAGATGGGGTGGAAGAGCCAAAGGATATTCACATTTCACATTTTAAAAACGAAAGACAGAAAGAGGGGTGGAAATGTGAGCACACAACGTGCTGGTGTAGTTCAGAGAGCGCAGGAGGTGCTGGTGCCTAGCGCTCAGCGAAGGAGCCAGCAGTGTCTTGCAAATGCAAGGGGCAGAGCCAAACAGGTGCCACACGCCCAGGTGAGCAGCCGGTGGTGTCATGGTTGTGGCTGGTGGCGACCACACATGCAGATGCCTGGAAGCTTTTTATTTCTTTAGTTTTTTTGCAGTGCTAAAAATCTAACATTCCAAGAAACCGTCCATATCTGGACAAACCAAGCAGCCCCAAAGGTCAGAGAGAGCAAATATTTTAAATAATTCACCAGTAGCGGCTGAACACATAACAGCACATACCTTTCCTGCCTACCTGTCCTGCTCCAGCAGCTCGTGTGCTTCGCCCGAGGCTGACATCCTGTTCTCATATCCATGCTTTGCTTGGACCCAAAATAAACGTGGTGGGGACAGTGAAACTTCGGTTTAGTCCCCGTTGTAATGGCAATGATTTGGGCTTCATGTTTTAAAATCTGGGTTTGCTACTGCCTTTGGGAAAGTTCTAGTTTTCATTTTTCAGCTGACTTTGGATTTTGTCATAACTTTCTTGGACTTTGGATTTTGTTATAAATGGCTGTTGGGTTTTATCGAGTGCTTCTTGGGCATCTCTGGAGAATATTCGCTGCTTTATTTGGTTTTCCAGCAACTGTGTTTCCTATCAGCACTGTTGTTTCTCAAGGAGAAGCCCCAGCACATACAACTTTGTAGAATGTCGTAGTTTTCTCCCAGTGAGCAGCTGCCCTCTTGGTGACCAGCCCTTCTCAATGGATGAGTGCAGAGGGGCGAGGTGTCCTGCCCTCCAAGGTATGAGCTGTGTCCTGGCCTCCTCAAAGAGCTATGGCCTTTTACCAACATGACTGTCCTTACATGGTTCAGGGGCAGTTGACATTGGGCTGGCTCAAGGGGACCAAGAACTCCAAGGCCATCTTCAGACTGCCTGTCTCCAGCCCTGACAGTACAGCCCCTTGTGAGCTGGAGCTCAGAGAATGAGTGAGTTCAGACCAGACTGTGACATCAGCTTGTGCTGGAAGGGTCTCCCCAGAGAATAGTGCACCACATCTGCCCCTGCAGGGGAGCAGAGACCCCAGCAGTGTTAGCTTCTGTCCAGAGGCAGAATTAGAACTGACTCCGCTCTCCTGGGTGTCAATGTCCTTGGGAGATCCTCCGTCCCACCACCTCTGGTCTGCACCAACCCATGGGGACACCCTGGCCCAGCACACAGAGGACATCATGCCGGGAGGCCTGGAGGAAGGGTGATGTACACACCCAGGTGACCTCAGAAATGGGAAGACAGCCAGGTGTGGTGGTACACACCTGTAATCCCGGCACTCGGGGGGCTGAGGCAGGAGAATCGCTGTGAGTTCGAGACCAACCTGGGCTACATAGTGAGTTCCCGGTCAGTCTCAACTACATAGTAAAAAAACAAAAACAAAAACAAACGAACAAAAAAACAGGTGGACTCCAGGGCAGGGCCTCCCACTGCTGCTCCTCACTTCAGGGGAGCGGGCCCTCTCTCATCCTTTGCCACTAAGAAAAATGAGAAAGGACAGTGTGGAGAGAGAGGTATCCTAAACGGTAGCCCAATTGGTGGCTGGGAGCCGCTTACCAGGAGACCCTCAAGGTGGTCGGGTCTGAGGCCAAGAGCAGTGCTCCCAGGAGGGCCTTCTGTGGTCCTCAGTTCTATGTTCAAGGTCGAATGTACTCTGGATGCCAGGCAGGCTTGGGTCCCACACGGAAGCCTCAGAACATTCCAGGAAGAGGTGACTGACCAGGGGCCAGGTTCTTGGAGCAAAACTATACCTTCTCCATCACATTAAAAAAAATTAAAATTCCTAGGCTGGGATATAATGCAGTGGTAGAGCAGTTGCTTATCATGTTTTGTGTCATGTGTGAGGCTCTAAGCCCCATCCCCGCTGCTGTGAAACAAAGAAATACACAAATGAATGAAAGCAACACACCTCCTATTGTCTCCTGTATTGCAATGGAAAAATAAACACTCATGCATGTGACACCAAGTGGCTGTGGGACTCATGTCCATAGGACACGGTCCTAAGTGACACACCTCATCCACAAGGGCAGCAGGCCCTGAGGTGGCTCCTGGTGAGGAAGAGTGTGACTCAGGCACCTGGCTGGAGCTTGTCCTGGAGGCAGAAGAAAGCCGTGGGGACCCATCTCAGCCCTACCAGGGGGCGCCCTCCAGTAGCGCCAGCCACGGGTGCTCAAGGGTGCCAGGAAAGGCCACACTGTGTGAAGAACCCAGCGCTCCTGACAGCACAGAGAGCTCTGAAGTCACAATGACACCTTTAGTTTGTGATCCTCAGCGACACTGAGAAGCAGTGGGGGGCAACCCCGGGAAGATGTGGTACAAAGGTGAAGGGCAACAGTTTCCCCAGGTGCCAGATAGACCACAGGGACCCTCTGCGGGAGGACAGCAAGACCTGTCCCACTAGTTCCTTCTCCAGTGCCTGTCCTTTCTTCATGAATGCTGTCCTGATCCCAGGCTCCTCCACAGAGAGGACAGGACACTGGGACCTCCCCGTGCCACCTGGCCATGCTTTTCATAACGTGAAGGAGGTAGGGGAAGGAGGCATAGAGAGACAGAGACAGTGACACGAAGAGACCCCTGCACAGAGCAGCAGTCAGACGGGGCTGGTGGTGTGTGGCTAAAATTCTGCTTCTCAGGACTGTTTCAAAAATAATTCAATGTATTGCTAAGGTCAAGTGCAAAAATAAATCAATGCATAAATGTCTGAGATGTTGCTTGTGGGTTTTTGAGCTAACCGGGTCCAGCCTGAAGTGGCCAATAAGCAGAGGCCACGTGGAAGTTGCCTTTGTCACATGTTTATGTCATGACTGCTCACTGCTTCCTTCCCATTCCAGCGAGGGAGTGGTGTGGTCTCTGAGGAAGTTCCACCATGAGAGGCTTCTGATAACTACCAGGCCATCCTGGGCTCCACAGGCCACTGCATACATGGGTAAAACAGATGTCAGGTGGTGTCCAGAGACCACAGGGTCCTGTCAAAGATGGAGGCACAAGGAGGAAATTCTCCCATTAACTTCTCTTCCTCTGCCATGGGAAAGCAGTCCCAGTTTGTGGTTCCCAGCCCCCTCCCCACCTTAGACAAAGCCAAAAGAGAAACAGTGACTACATTTGCCCTCAGGGGAGGTGGGGCCTGAAGCTTTGAGAATCCCTCACTCTTCCTGCCTGTGTGTCTAGGTCAGCCTTGCTTCACCCCAGGTCACCCCACCTGGTAGCCGGTGTCACAATAATGGCCTGGCCATTGGTGGGGGCAGCAACAGCCCCGATGGGAAGGGGCAGTCAGAATACAGGGACGTCACAGCCTGCACACACATCCTCCTGGAGACAGGGGGGCCTTGGGGCTGTTTCTGAAGTTGGCAACCGTGTCCTGCACCTGGAAGGAGGGTGGGGGAGCCACAGGCAGGGTGGGTCCTCCTGCCCCCTAGATCAAGAGGACACCGGACACAGATCCAAAGGAAAGCCTGGTGCTCCTGGTCACCTGGACTGCACCTTCCAGGCATCCCAGACACGGGCACCCCCCCACCACCACCCCCACACCCCGTTTTAGGAAGACAGCAAATCCCTGCTGTCCCCTGCGGCCTCCACTTCTCTTTCGCCATTCAACAGCACCACCTGGTGGTATTTTTCAGGAGCTGCACGCAGCTCGCCTGGGGTTTTCCTAGTCTGAAGAGGACATTTTGGAGCTCAAGATTCCTGGACAAAATTTTTGTTTGGCTTTGAGTTTTTTGTTTTGTCTTTTTTGGGGGGATGCTTTTGAATCGATGAGCCATGTAAAGGTGTCTACATTGAATTCAATGATAAAGAGCTAAATTTTATTTATTTATTTATTTATTTTTCTTTCTTTCTTCCTGGTAGGGATCAAACTCAGGGCCTTGTGCTTGCAAGGCAGGTGGCGGTGCCACTGAGCTAAATCCCTGGCCTCAAATTGTCTAAAATAACTCTTTTAAAAACTAGCCTGGTGGGCTGGGGATTTAGCTCAGTGGTTCCAGAGCCTGCCTCGCAAGCGCAAGGACCCAAGTTCCATCCCCAGTATCACACACACACACACACACACACACACACACAAAGCCACCTTGGGTTGTATTCCTGCAGGAACAGAATATGCATTCTCAGAAAAGGTGAGCAGATAAAGCCAAAGTCAGGCCCAACTTTGCAGAGTGACATGATGGAGATTCACTGGGCTGAAAGTTAATTTAGAGGTAAGCTATTTATCACGAGTTTTTTTTTTCTCCCACGTTTTTAGTTTCCCAAATGTCTATACTTTTTAGCACAGCCAGCAGCAAGTGGCAGGCAATGATTCTTCAGGGTCCACTGAGGCCACAGGAATGAGAAGCCCTCTTGTCCCCCCAGGTGACAGCTCCGGTGCTCCTCGCCTGCTGGCAGCAGCCCTGTCTCCTAGTGGATGGGTGGGCCTCTGTTGCACACAGTGAGACGAGAGGTCCTTAAGTCCGGGGCAATGGGACCAGCCCTCTTACCTCAGGCGGCTGCCACGAGGCCCTGCAACCCCACGCCCTTCACAGGCTGAGGGAAAGCAGCCAGAGAAGCTCCAGGAGTGTGGCAGTGAACCTATGATGCTGGGAGAACCAGGGCCAACCTCAGGGACCAGGATGTGCAGTCCCATGGCCTGTGGGAGCCCACGCCTCTGGATGGCTCAGGGGGTGCTCATGACGTGGGTGCGACCCTCCAAATTCCAGGCCTTGAAACTCTAACGGCCAACATGGTGGTACGAAAAGTTCCCTTACATGGTAGCCAGGCATGGGTCTCCTTTGTTGTGAACAGGATTAAAGTTCTTAAAAAAAGAGGCTCACTCAATGTCTGGCCATTTCTCCTGCTCCTTTCCACCAAATATCCTAGTTCATCACTTTCAAGTTCTGCCTTTGCAAAGAGACAAATACAGCTCAGCCAAATTCTTTGCCACTTTGCAACAATGACGGTCTTTCCCTCAGTTTCCAATAAGTATTTCCTCATTTCCATCTGAATCCTTACGAGAATGGCCTTTGCAGCCCAGATTATCCTGGCCACAACCCCAGGGCATCTCTGGGATACCGAGGCTTTCTCAGGCTTTGTTCCTGGCGCTCTGGGCTTTTCCCAGCATGCTCCCTCTTACGCTTCCGGTCTCCGCCCATTACCCAGCTCCAAACTCTCTTCCCCATTTGTAGGTCTTTGCTACAGCAACAGTGGATGGGCTCTCTCACCGTTCCACGTCTCCACGTCGGGACACAGCCCCCTCTGGAAGCAGAGAGCAGCCCCCAGCAGACCTGAACCTGCCGTCGCCTCCATCTTGGACTTCCAGTTCCAAAACTGGGGGAAATGAATTTCTGTTCTTCATAAGTCGTCCAATCTCAGGTGTCTCGTTGCAGCTACACAGACCGAAGCAGGTGCAACAGCACAACAGCTTTTCCCAGCTACATACGGATCTCAGAAAAGAGCCAGCTCGTGACCTGTTTCTAAAGGAGTGGAACAAAAGGGAAACAACAGGAAGAGGGGGCTCTGGGATGCAGAGTGGCTTTGGTGATGCTGTCCCCAGCCAGGATCTTGGTGGTGACGCTCCCATGGTCACCTCAGCCCTGTCTAGAATGTCCACTGAGGAGGGGAGGGACTGGAATATCATCCTTAGCCCAGGTCTGCAAGGATCCCTACAAGGATTTGCTCTCTCCCTATAGATTGCTGCCCACAGCAGGACCAGTCCAGCACAATTGCCAGACCAGGCCCAGCAGCCCCTGCCCTCACTGCAGGACAGTCACATGATATCAGAGTTGCTGGAGCCATTCAGACAGTGCCAACAGCAGGGGGAAGAGGATGACCACTTTAATAGCACCCAGTGGGCAACTGGGACCGTTTCTCAGGAGATGTGTCCCCGTGGCTGGGCTGTGGTCTGAATGGTGCTGGGTTTTAGATAAAGCTAACAGTAGAGAAGTGTACTTCTAGTAGAGCAGGTGACCCTCCATACTATGGGTGGGCCTCATCCAATCAGTTGAAGGCCCTAATATGAAAATACTGAGGTTTTCCAAGAAGAAAAGAGCTTGCCTTCAGATTCCCTTTCGGATTCAAGACTGAAACATCAGTTCCTCCTGGAATCTTTGGCCTGGTCTGTAAATTTTAGACTCGCTAGCTTCCCATAATTCCTTTTAAAAAGTCTCCCTCTTTCTCTCTCTCTCTCTGTCTCTCCATCTCTCTCCTCTCTCTTCTCTGTCTCTCTCCCATTTCCTCTCCCTTCCTCCCTCCTTCAGTGCTACCTCCACTCATGAACTTGATTCTTTCCACGATTCTGGTTGTGAACTGAGTTGGATGGTTAGGGTCAATGTTGACCTTATGGAGAAATTGGATTCAGCTGTTGTCCAGTTCAGAATCGTGCCACGAAAATCATGGAGAGAGGAGCTCGTGAATCATGGTGCCACTCCATTCTCATATGCAGTACGTACAAGTTTCTATATAGATAAACATGCAATGCAGCTAGAGAGAGAGAGAGAGAGAGAGAGAGAGAGAGAGAGAGCAAGAGGGAGATTCGCGTCTATCACCTGTCTACATATGCCTGGATCTCCATCTCTCTCCATATGTATTTATAATCTACCTCTAGAACAAGAGAGAGAGAATCCCATACACACATTGTAGGCTGTCTCGCTGGTAATCCCTGACTGGTGCTTGTGTGCATATGAGAAAACCACCACACAGAGTCCCCTTGTCCTGAGCAGGGTGTGACAGGAGTCCACTAAGTGTCTTCAGCCAGGTGGAGGGGGAGATGCCTGCTTTGGCTCCCTGCAGCCTATACCCAGCAGTGGCCCTGGGCCACTGGGCCAGGGGCTTCTTCAGCCAACCAGGGCATCAACCCTTAGATCAACAGTCTACACATATTTTTTTATTTTATTTTATCTATTTGGGGGGGTGCCAAGGATCAAACTCCAGTTCTTGTGCTTGCGAGGCAGGCTGCAGAACCACTGAGCTAAATACTGGCCCAGACACATACTTGTTAAGTGCCACTGAATACCTCCACCTGACCCCCACAGAGAAATCCTGAGATTCTAACTTCGTTTTTCCCTGAGGAACTGGTGATCAAACTCAGAACCTTGGGCTTGCCAGGCAGGCTTGGCACCACTGAGCTACGCCCCTGGCCCTGAGATTTTAACTTTGCGATGTGTGAATCTGTCTGAATGATCGGCCCACCGCTCCCCAGACAGGAAGACAGCAGCTCTCTTGTCGTGCTGTTTACCCTGCTTCCGTGTCACTGAGAGCCCTGTTCGCTTTGATTTGGGAATGAGGAGGTGAGGGTGCAATCCTCACCCTGAGCCTGTGCACCTGTCACACAGGGGTCTGCGGGTTGTCCCTTCTGGCTCAGCACAACCTCCAGGTTCTGCTCTGAAAGAGTTACAACTGGCTGGAGGCACTGTCCTTGTGACTAATGATGTCTCATTACCCAAAGGTTTCCTTTGGCTCTAGACTGCTGAGTCCTCAATGGCTCCTGGCAGCCTGAAGGAGGGATGAGCTTAGATCCAGATCTGAGCCCTGGCGATTAACCACACATGCTGAGGCAGTTCAGGGAGGATGACGCCTTCTGTCACTTCTAGTCTGCAGTGCTCACACGTCGGACAGGGGCTCAGACACAGAGAGTAGGAGGGCCTGGGATGGAACAGGCAGCAATGGGGCCAGGCCTGGCCACTATATCCTGCGTACAGAAAGCTGTGGGCATCGGCCAGCACAAGCAGAATCCGCTTCTCCTGCATGCAAATATCCAGTCTCCTCATTGCCTGGGTTCTCTGTCTTCAACTGAGACACCAGCTTCACCCCCCCAACAAAAACAAACAAACAAACAACCTCTTCCAGCCAGGGTTGGTCCACAGTGAGATGCTGGCGGCTGTGTGTCAGGGTATGGATATTGATCAGTCAGTTGGGAATCCAAAAGCAGGACGTGCAGAACAATTTCAACGCAACTAACGCATCTGTGCATTCTCAGAACTCTGCTGGTCTCCGGAGCAGCTGCCCCTGCGCGTTTGTGAAGCCTGTGACCGGCCTGCTCAGGCGGGGGCCGCGCCCTCTGGCGGCGCCCAGAGTCATTTCAAGTGGTACCATTTCCAAGGGCAGCCAACAGATCAAGGTGAAAGGTGGCCATCTGTGATGTGTTCAAGAATTCAGACACACCGAGTCACCATGCAGGGTGATCTCCTGCACCTACTACAGCCTCACATCCGAGTCCAGTACCATTTGGAACCCAGGGTCTCAGTCGGATCAGTTCAGATGACCAAGGATATCTGCTAAGGGCAGTAGGGTCCCACACAGCTCTGTAATTCCCTCTTAGCTACCTGCGTGGAAACGGAATCTCCAGGTGGATGTTGTATTTCGCCAGCAAGAGCCTTTCCCATTGTGCTTCATGTGTCCTTTTCTTGCTTAACCATGAACATGCACTGTTATATCGTTTAACAATTCATAAATATAAGAATTCAGTTACTGTGTTAAAAGCATGAAACAAAACCAGGATGGTGAACCTCATCTCTTGCTCCTGCTACAAAGGACAACTCCCCAAATAACTTGTCTAGTCTTTTTTCTAAGCGAATAAATAGAGAAAAATCCAGAGATGTACATTTCTTCCATTTTAAAAGCGCTGTTTTCCCAAGAGAAAAGATATTATTAAAAAATAGCCTATGTTCACCACAGAAACAGGCAAACTTGCTTTTAGGGGTAAGAAATGTTTCCTGTTAGGAGTGAAAATTAGTGGAAGATAATTAGAAATATAGTGGACACCTGACGGTGGAGGACAGGGGAATTGGTCTCAGGATCCTCTAGGGCACCCAAATCCTCAAGCTATATATATTAGAGTCCCTTCTTTTATTTTCACAGAGCTATACACATCCCTGTGCATGCTTCAAACTATCTCTGTGTTGTTTAGGGAATAAAGCAAAGACTAACTCAGTGCTCTGACTGTATGGGGAAAATGCTTAGGAGGAAGACATTAAGAACCATTTACCTTGGGCCGAGGATTTCATTCAGTGGTGCAGCACCTGTCTCACAAGCTCAAGGATCTGAGTTTGATCCCTGATACCAGAAAAAAAAATGTATCTTAAAATCCATCACCTACCTTTGAGAATTTTGTAAGAATCTGATTCTTTCATATAAGACGGATGTTACCACTAATCCACCTTTTGAGTATCTGGTGTGCACAAGCACACTATTTCAGGCTGCTACTACTTGTCGATACTCACTACTGCCTCAGAATTAATTTATAGTCTTTATATAAAAGCATTTACTACCTAATACTGTCTTTGGTGCTGGGCATGGGACACAGAGCCTTATACATATTAGACAAGGGCTCTGCTAATGAATTATACTCCCAGCCCCAACTCCCCCACATTTTAATGTTCTAATGTAAAAGTTTAGAATCTTAATACAATTTTTTGTGTGATTTCACCTGTTTATAGTTTAAGGACAAGCACCACTAAGCTACAGGGTTGGAAGTCAAGATTTCGGCTGTCACGTTGAGGTGTCCCTGATTAACTGAAGGTCCAGGGCCTGCTGTAAGGATCTCTGTTCCCGGTGGTGCATTTATATGGGATAAAAACCTAATAAAGAATGTAATAAAACAATAATGATACTTTAATATGAGATATAATTATTTATATCAATCTTTTAAATATGAGATTAGAAGACATTTTGATGTGATGAGTAGACTTGTAATGAATAAAACTCCCTTTCATAGAATCTTCACAATTGCAAGTGTTTGAGGGGAAGGACCTGGAAGAAGACATCTAAAGATGTTTCTGAACTTGCTCTTCCAGTCACAGTGGATGGACAGGAGAGGACAGAACCTCCCAAACAGAAAGGGGCCCAGCACTGCAGCCAGCAGGCAGCCAGTGCCGTGGGAAGTGTCCTTTTCCTGCCCTTTTGAGTCTCCATATAAGTTTTAGCCCTGGCTTACCTATGCAAAATTAATCTTCTGATTTTATTATGCTGTAATTCTCAACATGGAGGAATTTTCCCCCAGGGGACATTTGGAAACACGGGGTGGGGGATTTCTGTTGTCAAAATTAGGAAAGCAGGTGGCAGAACCACTGAGCTAAAACCCTGGCCCTCCAAATAAAAAGATTTTTAAGGGTCAGGGTTTTAGCTCAGTCATGCCTCTGCCTGCCTCTCAAGTACAAGGTTCTGAGTTCGATCCCCAGTACCAAAAAACAAAACAAAATTTAAAGGGATGGAAATGTAGCTCAGTGTGAAGGCCCTGGATTCAATCCCTAACACTACAAAAATAAACAAACAAACAAACAAACAAAGCCATAAAGTGCACCAAATGGCCCCTCCAAATAATTAATTATGTAGCCAAAAAGTGCAGATTTCCAAGGCCAGGTAGGTGTTGGCAACAGTAGAAGCAGCAACAGCAGTCAGTCTCAAACACAGCCCCAGGGGAGAGGAGGGACTTTGCCCTTGGTGGCAGCAGACAAGGGGGAGTGGGCTGGTCTGCCTGTCCCCAGAGCCCCCCCCAGCATCTGTTAAGTGCTGATGTTCCAGCCCGAGGTCCAGGACAGGAACTGAGGGTTGTTAGACAGCTGAGCAATGTGGGAGCACAGGGTAAAACACTCAGGGAGTCACGCGAGCTGCCCCTGACCCCACGGGCAGTCCTCTGACTCATCAGACCCCAAGCAGCTGCTTCTCTCCAACCTGCTCCAGCCACCGCTCATGCTTGTTTCCAGGACGCAGCCCAGGCGCCACAGAAACAGACTCTGCCTGAGCCCAGAGGCCAGAGCCCGAGTTCAGGTGTGGAAAGGGCTGCTCCTCAAGGCTGAGAAGGGGTCTGCTCTCCCCTCTCCCCAGTGCTGGTGGTTGCCAGTGATCTTTGGTGTCTCGTGACTCTGGACGCATCACCTCGACCGCTGCTTTTGTTATTTCATGGTGTCCTCCCTGTGTGCACGTCCACACTTCCCCTTGCCATCAGAGTCCTGATCCTACTAGGTTACTGTCCACCTTGGTGACCACACTGACTTGATTATCTCTGTAAAGACCTGGTTGGCAAGTAAGGTCCCAGAGTACAGTCTGGGGGTCGTGCCTCGAACACATTAATTTAGGGGACACAGTTTAGCCCCTGCCATAGCGTGCCATCCAACTAAGATAGAAGTCTTGCTACCATCCTGCCTTTGTCAATGGCCCTTCTCAAATGTCCTGACACTCAGGACAAAATTCAGTGTCTGGACACCTCCAGGCCTGCCTTCCTACAGGCACTGGGGTTCGTCTGATGCCTCTCTCTGCCACAGGGATCTCTGTCCCTCCCCACAGGATGGTGGCACCATGCATTCCCCTTCCCCCTAGTGGCCCCACAGTTGATGGGGAACTGAACTTTACTCTCCACTTTGTCCCAGAACTCATCACGGGGGAGTGCCAGAGCAAGAAGTCACAGGGTCAGTTCTGAGTGATCTCTGGACCACTGCATGAAGGATTCCAGGGGGAGAAGTTGAACAGGCTGGCATGGAGCAGGGAGCCAATGCTCAGAGAAATGGAGAAAGAAGGAAAGGATGGCCAAGGAAGAGCTTTGTACAGTGGGCTATATTTATTTAGAGGGTCCAGGATTAGAACTTGATGTACAGAGAGCCAAAGAGTTGGTCAAACTCCTGGGAGAAGGGGCACTTTTCAGTATACCAGGGGCCTAGGCTGCATCCTGAACTTTGCATTTAAAATGAGGGGGAAATGGCCTGGGTGGTGGTGGTAAGGGAGGCTGGAGAAGATGTGGGTAATGAGCTGGAATAAGGCCCTATCAGTGAGAGGGCTTCCTTGGCTTTATCCATCCTGATGACATGTTTCTGAAGTTCTGGAGTGAAGAGCATGAAGTCAGTGGGCAGTGGAACATTCATGTGCCCCAGGATAAGGCCAAGGGCACCATTACCAGTGCAGGCTGCCACAGGTCTATGGACAGAGCCTCAGATCTTACACTGGCAGCACACAGGGACACAACAGCTAGATTGGGAGCAGCAGGGCTTGCAGCAGCTGGGCTCGCAGCAGCAGGGATTACAGCAGCTGGCCTGGCAGCAGCAGGGCTTGCAGCAGCTGGGCTCACAGCAGTAGGGCTTGCAGCAGCTGGCCTGGCAACAGCAGGGCGTGCAGCATCTGGTCTGGCAGCAGCAGGGTTTGCAGCAGCTAGACTGGCAGCAACAGGGTTTACAGCAGCTGGCCTCGCAGCAGCAAGGCTTGCAGCAGCTGGACTTGCAGCCCCCACAGGAGCCACAGCTCCCCTTACATCCTCCACAAGAATCACAGCCTCCCTTAGTTCCCCCACAGGAACCACAGCCCCCCTTGCACCCTCCACAGGAGGCACAGCTCCCCTTACAGCCCCCACAGGAACCACAGCCCCCCTTGCACCCCCCACAGGAAGCACAGCCTCCCTTGCAGCCCCCACAGCTCCCTTTGGCACAGCTGGAGCAGGGACAGGCTGGCACACAGCAGCACACGGGCACACAGGAGCAGCTGGAGCCACAGCCTCCGGAA